TCTACAAAAACACACCACATGGCATCTGGGAACTCAACCAAGCTTGGGACTCAAAAAGACACACAACCTACAAAGTTAGCTAAGACAACACCCCCCACCCCGCCGCTCCTGGGAGTATGTCAACCAATCAGAATACATTTCTTACACTGGAACAGAGAGGTGGGGCTGAACAGAGCAAGAAAACCTAGCAAGTCCCTTCTTTTCTCTCTTCTTCACCCAACATCTGGAAGCATGTGATCCCCTTTTCTGTTCAGGACCTCAAACCATGTGGTCCTGTCCACCATTAAACCATCTTTCCAAGCAGCCTCCATGTTTCCAGTGTCTTTTTCCCCACTTGGAGCTGAACCCAGGACATTTCTTTTGCTTTCTTGCTTCTTTGCACACCTATTAATTGTAACATATTTTCTGATGACTTGCTTTGAAGAGCTTTCATATTCTTTTGAAAAAAAATGGGTTGGTTTTAATATTACATAGCCATGGATTTTAGGATTTCCCTTCCTCCACATAGTTGGTTGCTATTTATGAGTCTGAAGGACATTCATGTAATCCCTCTTTAAAACCTTCTGAATAGAGACTTCAAGCTCTTGTGTATGTAGAATTGAGTGTTATACAAAAATTGTTTAGGAAACTTGCATGTCATATTTGAGGCAGGTTAAATGCATGAAGCAAACCATATATTATTTCCAAGAAAATTGTAACTATCTCCTTGGAAAATATGTGAATAAAGCATGATAAAATACTAATTAGCCCCAGCACTCACTCATACAATTTGTTAAATCATAATAGATTTTCTTTGGTTTAGACGCAGTAAATTATATAAACTCAGCTTTTGTTACTTGTAAATCAGAGTTAATAGCTTAGCATTTTATGTGAACTTAGCTTTAGATTTATTCAACACATCATGGTTACATTGAATTTATTCACTGAAGTTAAAATTGCATTTTAATGTACAAGATTAACCAAGCTGTTTTCAGAGATAAATTAGTGGACTGATCATTCTCCCAAGAATGACTCCCTTTCAAAAGCCACTGCATTTTATCACCTTGACCTTGAATGCCTGTATAATAAACTGTTAAAGACATATAATTGCACCAATATACTTTCTAAATTCTCCAGAATCATTCCTTGAAAAAGAGAACACCATGTCTAGACCAAAGGGCATCTGATATAAATTCACCATCTCATCTCAGTGATCACAGCAGATTTATGAATACAAATGTTAATTGGTGTCTTATGCTTTTGTTTACTGTGTTAAGCCATCCAGTTGTTCTTGTGACATTTGAGGTCTAAGAAATTGCCACCACTTCTACTTGCAAACTAGATTGAAATTCAGCAGCAAATTTGCTGCAATCAAGCCATTAAGAAAATCTAGAAGTTGACACTGAAAATGAATGAAAAACCTCAGTTTTAAAAGATTCAGCAAAGTTTGGACTGTAGTTCAAGTAGATGATTTTTACATTCATCTTCAGGATCATAACGTGGAGGAAAGAGTAGTTAAATCAGCCACCACTGGATCTAAAAAACACAAAAACAGTTTGACAATTCAGAGATAGAAAATACATGTTAAATATATGGAAATATGTTAAAGATAGCTACTTGTCTAAAATGCTTTATTTTTCAATTAATATATTTTATTAACTAATTTAGAGAAAATGTATAAATGAAAAAACCTGAATGATAAAAAATACTTAATCCTATTATGGCTCAATGTGATAGGCTAGTAGTTGATAAGTCTAAGACAATGGCTAGGTTCCCACAACACAGTGAACTACAACCTACCCAACCTCATTCTAGTCTATTATAGACTAAAAATGTCTAACCTAATCACAGTATATTTCTAAGAACATTCCAACACTGTTCTTAATCAATGTATTTGCACAATCCATCCACTTTGGAATGGTAAATGAAACAAAATGTCAAAAAGTTATGACATTTATGTAGTTACTTACCAAGCACATCTAAATTATATTAAAGTAACCAAAAAATCTTTACAGTCCCCAACACAGGTCACAACTTTTGAGCACCCCTAATGTTTGGAAATTGAAAGTTGAAAATTTTTACACACCCTAGATGACATTTAATAGGTTCTGGCAGTACCCATGATCTAAATTCAGCATATTTCCAGTTTAATAGAAATAGCTGTGATAACTAAGAGACCAACCATTTTTGCAGAAGTCAACTCTATGTTACCATTTGAATTTTATGTTGTCCTTTAAAAAAGATGGATTCAGAACCACCACAGCTGGGGATGAGAAAACAACATCAAGCCCTCTTAAATGAAACTAGCTTTCAATCAGCTTTTGAATTTGTTGTTAGCTCCACTTGCTGTTGTCTTCTGTTCCTACTTGGAATTAAGGAAACCCCCTTCCTCCATATTTTCCTGGTTGTGACCTCTTATAGACACAATAAGAGTACAGTCCAACTCCAGATTTTATTTTCAATTTTCTAAGAATATAAAAGGCCTTAATAAGATTGTGATTCCTTATTAATAGTGAAGTTATACAGTGCTAATAAGGAATCACAATCTTATTAAGGCCTTTTATATTCTTAGAAATAAGAATATAAAACCCTATGTTTTTAGGGTCAACAATGTATTGTTGAAATATCTGTATGGACAATTCTGGGGAAGGAGTTGTTTATTTTTTACTACTTGGAATGAAACTGACTGTATTTTGGGTTAGGAGTTAAATATCTTGCCTTTATAAATGAGTAGGAAAAAAAATCGGTTTCCACAAGCCACACTCAGCAATTAGTTGTAATATCAATACAATACAATAGCAGAGTTGGAAGGGACCTTGGAAGTCTTCTAGTCCAACCCCCTGCCTAGGCAGGAAACCCTATACCGTTCCAGAGAAATGGCTATCCAACATCTTCTTAAAGACTTCCAGTGTTGGGGCATTCACAACTTCTGGAGGCAAGCTGTTCCACTGATTAATTGTTTTAACTGTCAGGAAATTTCTCCTCAGTTCTAAATTGCTTCTCTCCTTGATTAGTTTCCACCCATTGCTTCCACCCTCAGGTGCCTTGGAGAATAGTTTGACTCCCTCTTCTTTGTGGCAACCCCTGAGATATTGGAACACTGCTATCATGTCTCCCCTAGTCCTTCTTTCTATTAAACTAGACATACCCAGTTCCTGCAACCGTTCTTCATATGTTTTAGTCTCCAGTCCCCTAATCATCTTTGTTGCTCTTCTCTGTACTCTTTCTAGAGTCTCCACATCTTTTCTACATCATGGCGACCAAAACTGAATGCAGTATCCAAGTGTGGCCTTACCAAGGCATTATAAAGTGATATTAACACTTCACGTGATCTTGATTCTATCCTTCTGTTTATGTAGCCTAGAACTGTGTTGGCTTTTTTGGCAGCTGCTGCACACTGCTGGCTCATATTTAAATGGTTGTCCACTAGGACTCCAAGATCCCTCTCACAGTTACTACTATTGAGGAAGGTACCACCTATACTGTACCTGTGCATTTTGTTCTTCTTGCCTAAATGTAGAAGCTTACTCTATTAATGTCTATTTCAGTTGTCTTGCCTAAATGTAGAACCTTACTCTAATAGCGTCTATTTAGCTTATATTAGCAAGCTACCCATTCTTTTGTGTATATATGCAGAAAGTAAACCTGGAGTTTCACCTCTGTTCGAATGTCATACTCTGTATGAAGACCCAAAGCCATCATCATGCCCAGAATAAGAGGCAGGGAATTCATTTTAGAGAATGAAGTTATTAAAAAAAACTCTCTCCCCAAGCAGTCCTTTTCCTCACAGAATTGAAAAGCAATTATCAATTTTATGATCCTAGTTTAGAGGATCGGCGGAAAGACAGTCCTCAACACCTAGTAACTCCATAGCCTAGCTAAAGAAAGTCCACATATCTTAAAATTGTTAAGTTTGATAAACACTGGTCTAGATAATAAGTGAACCAATTGTATTTAGGTTTCCAGCTGTTTTTGGGAATCTGACATGGTTCAGTAATGTGAATTAGCAAATCTAGATACATCACTGAGCAATATCTGATTGCTCGCTGCTGTAAATCGTCATTAACCTGAACGTTTTATAACTTGAAAGGTGGGGTATAAATACATGTCAGCTGAGGTATTTCACTGTACTTGGCTGAGAAAGACCCTGCCTTACCCTGAGAAACTGTTGAGCTGAAAGACATCGTTAAGGTTTGCACAATGTGCTCAATCAGGTTTCTTAAATGGTTACTGTTAAACTTGGTTACGGCTTAGTGTGTTTCGCAAACTCTCATTTGCTTCGTTGGCGTTTCAGCATATTTTGCTTCTGTAAAAATTGTGCTCAATTTAGCAAACAGGTTAAGCAAGCTGTGTTTGTTTGCGTTTCAGGATACGTTTGTCCATGGTTAACTTAACAGTTTAGGAATTAACACATTCGTTGAGTCTGCACGGTTCACGCAACTATAAAGCGATACCGCTGGTTGGGTAACACGCCGGGTTGAAGTTGAACCCTATGAGGCTAATGATCTTCTAATTGGCGTGCCTGCAATAGGAACGCAGCCAGTGCCAGGTATTAACATGGCGGTAGGCGGCACGAGCGACTTGATGTCATCCCGATGCGCGAAGTGGGCGGTGCTTGTCCTTGGGAATGTCAGCCCAGCTATGAGACCCGAAGTGTCAGCGGCAGCAGAGCTGCACGTGGGTACATCGCCGAACTGCGGAGAGATTAGCTGCAGTTAGCTCTCATCTATCGCTGGCCTCGTGGTAAGTAGGAGGAACACCTCCCCGGGCAGAAGCTGCTTTTCTAGTGTTAGAGCAAAAAGCTTTCCCCGCCACTTCCCCGATCATAGGCAAAGATGCTGCACGTGTTTTTCTTTGATCGTTTCCCACGAGCAGGGAATCTAGGTAACTCCCTCCCCTACCTTTTGCTTCCTGGCATAGGTAGAGCCGTGGGGAGAAACATTTAAAATACATTTACCATTAGGCATATTCTGATTAGCTCCGATTGTCTGTGCGACATCTGTAACCTATTTGTCCCTGTAATTGTATCAACAGGTGTAATTTATTTTGAGATGAGGACAGAAGGAGAGGGCTACATTTGCTAAGGTCACAGCCTGCTCCTGAAGTTATTAGAGAGTTTTTGACCAAAGCGCTCTGAACCTCATTCAAGACTTTGTCCTGAAAGTCTTGACATACATTTCTTGCAATATCTCTAAAGTAATTTAATTTTAGAGAAGGCTATACAGTAAACCAAGGTCATCTAGTGGACTTGTAGGGGAAAAGTTAAATGAGATTCAGGTTTCACTAGCCAAGTTTCTTTCTCTAAAGAGGAGAAGCTCTATGATGTTTGTTTTCAATTATGTGTGACTGTAACTGGATCAACTTCAGTTAGTTAGAATTGCCTGTTAGTAATTGCTTCTTTTAATTATTGTAAGCTCATGTTTGTGTCATCAATAAGATCTAGCTACTTATCTCTGACAATTTCTGTTATTTTTCTGAAATGATGATCTCCCCACCCCCATCCCAAACGTCTGATTGTGTGTCCAAAATATTTAACCTTTAGTTTCATGTTAATGCTTCCAGCAATCAGCCTGGAATTATTGCATCTTATATGAAATCTTGCAAATCTTGAGAAATAGCTGAGCCAGATTTTGATTTGGTGACTAGACTTGTAGCCTAATTTTGACAAACAAGCGGGAGCTTTGGTATCTTCCCCAATGAGTTACTATCCCCTTTATATGTGATTTGGAGCTTGCAAGATGAGGCTTCCTGATCAGAGGGCAATTGTGAGAGTGAATCTCTGAGATAGGAGACTCTTATCTAAGTCAGCAAATGAGAGAGGTTTCTCAAGAGGAAGAAAGCCAACATATCTCATGCTCTAATTTGTTGACATGTTCAGTGTAGATGGAAAGTTTTATGCAGAGGGTCCTTGATTGAGAACGTGCAGCTTGTCTCCAGTCAAAATTCTATTTTTTGGTCTTTGTTATCTTTAAAATGGGTGAAAGTAACCTATGAACTTAATTTGATTAAGTACTTGATGTGTATCAAGGCAATTAATACAATATTGAAGACTGTGACATTAAAAAAAGATGTGGCTATTGCTAGTGTAGTGGATTTATAGCGGTGTGACTGGGCAGACGTTTGGCATTATCAACCCAAAATAGTATGTATGGCTGTGAGATTAAAAGTTGGGTTTTCTTGGCTGAAGAGTCTACTGAGAGGGACGTCTGGAGCATCTGCCTTGAAATTCTTCCTCAACTGCAGATAAACAAATTGGCTATGTATCTGGCCACGTGCTGTCTTTGGAAGAAGGCCAGTTCTCCATCTAAGAATATGTAATTTAGTAGAGAGCAAAATGATCTAGGGATTTCTTCAAGCAACTTAATTAGAGTAGCGGGATTGAACTTGTACTTGAGGGGCTGCCACCAGGAAAAGGGGACTGACTTATTCTCCATAGTACTAGAGGGCAGGACAAGAAGTAATGGCTGGAAACTTGTTAAAGAGAGATCCAGCTTAGAAGTAAGGAGAAATTTTATGACAGAACAATTAATCAATGGAATAGTTTGCCTTCCAGAGTTGTGATAGCAATAGCACTTAGACTTATATACCACTTCACCATGTTTTACAGCCCTCTCTAAGGGGTTTACAGAGTCAGCATATTGCCCCCAACAATCTGGGTCCTCATTTTACTGACTTCAGAAGGATGGAAGGCTGGGTCAATCTTGAGCCGGTGAGAATTAAACTGCTGAACTCCTGACAGTCAGCAGAATTAGCTTGCAATACTGCTTTCTAACCATTGCACCACTAGGCTCCATCATTGGAGGTTTTCAAAAATACTGGACAACCATTTGACCAGGATGGTATTATGTCTCATCCTTTGAGCAGGGTTTTGGACTAGAAGATTTCTATGTCCATTCCACTCTATGATTGTATTCTTTGTAGGATCCTTCCTTGGTGCTTTCTCCTTGATCCTCAAACTTTCAGTCTTTGGTTGGCAAGCCTTAACAAGCCACTGCCTATTTTGCAATTGCCTTAATCCCGCTAACTATGCATTCAATATCCCTTGCCAGAATTAGCTACTGATCCTGCTTATTTTTCAGACTTGTTCTTCTCTGTTTAGAATACTTTCATGATATTTTCCCTCCCCAATTTTGTTTGCCGCATTAAAGCCTGCTGATACTTTCATATAAAGAGAAGATAAACCAGTTGTGTAAACTAATTTTCTTTTTGTCATCTTTAAAGAGGTGGCGCAGTGGTTAAATGCAGCACTGCAAGCTACTGCTAGATCAGCAGTTCAGCGGTTCAAATCC